AGAAGTGACTTCAAGATACTATCTTAAAATATAGGTGCAGATGAGTAGTCTGAGAAGTAATGGTAAACAGTAATATATACATATAGATAAACTCAGATACCATCGGACTGTACTCTTTTTTTAATTTTATTTTTAATTTGATTACTGTTACGCAAAGAAGAGCTTTTAGGAATTCAGTACACTAATATAAAGAAGGTTTGTGTTTAGCTGCTTGCGTGTAGATTTTCAGAGTAGGTCTTAAGCAGTGGTGCTGACTTCAAACAGCGCTGTGTTAACAGGAAAGTCAGCACAGAAGTTAGTCCCATATCCATTACACTTGTCAGAGAGACATAAAGCAGAGCACCTGCGATGATGTACTGCTCTGCTAACATGGTGCTCTTCTGAACTCTGTGCAAACCTGCTGCGTGTTTACGAAGCTATAAGCATGACTTCTTTGGAGCCATAACGTTCTCTGGTAGTTATGCTTCCTCCTTATATAATTTGTAGAGTCAGATACATGCAGATTTGCATTAGTACTTGTGAGCATGTTCCGGTTGTTTTACTCAAGGCTATTCATTTCTTATTGCAGAACAGTCTTATTGTAAAGGCTGGCCAAATTCTAGGAGTTGCTAAAATGAAGAAATCCTGTGGGAGAAACAAATGGGAACTGGTTTTGCTCAGTAATTCCCTGATGGCTAAAGTTCGCCTGGGCTGTATATGTACAAGTAGACTATGTACAGTTTTACATTGTTGCTTATTTTCTTGTCAGTGAATTACTGCTAATACTATGTATGGTTTTTAATAAATATTAGATCTAATATAAAGGCTTACTTTCTGATAGCCCTGTTCATTGTGGCTTTAGCTGCTTAAGGACACAATGAATGGTCTCTCCAGCCCATCTAAATGCCCTTCCTTTCCTTTATTTACATGGAATTATCTTAGCTTCAGTGATTGAAAATGGACTCTGTCTTTACTTTTTTGCAATTGCATATTCAGATGAGCATGTTGCCCTCCCTGGGACAGGTATGTGAAACCCCCCATTTCCCAATGGGGACAGTGAGAGCAACATGTCTGCCAGCCAGGAGGCGGCCAGCTGCCTTGCCCAGCAGGTTTGGAGAGGAGCTGTGATGCTCCTGGCAACGTGCCGGAGGTGCCGTGACAGGACAGGCTGTCTGTGCGCAGTCGCGTCGGCCTGCCTCCCTCTGATTCAAGTTACTGTCCTCGTGAGGCTCGACAGTTCTTCTGACCCTCTGAATTTGCAAGAGTCAGAACTACCATGAACTTCCCTCTCTCTTTGAATGTGTAGGTTATAATATCAGGAAAGAACATGCAATCCTTTCCTCTGACCTCGTGTACAACGCAGGGCTGCCTTGGATCAGTTGTCTTATTGGGTATCTGAAGTAGCGGGAATGAATCTGTCCCCTATCTTCCAGAGCAAATGAGAACTCTGTTTACTCTTACAAAGCTGTAAAACTGAGGGAATAACCTATTACATCCTTCCCCACGTTCTCCTTCCCCTCCTGGGGAAGTTATTCAAGGCGGGGCTTGAATAACTCTTATTTTCAGACTTCTCTGTAGAACTGAGTCTGGTTTTGAGTAACACTCAGACAGCAGCTGGGATTTCTACATGCGTCTCTCTTGAGCCCGCTCGTCATGGCTGATTCAGCCTCTGCCGTGCACCTTTGGTGAGAAGGTGTTCTGAAAAGCTGCTGGCCTGTTAGACAAGATGTCAGACTTCCCATTGTACTGCTGTTGTAAAACAAGTACCATTGTTTTGAAATGCACGCTTTGTGAAGTTTTTACCAAAGATAAACAGAGCAAGTAACTAAATGTTGTTCTTCATTATGTGTTTATTTTATCTGCTATTGAAATTACTGTTCAGAACCAGAACTGCTCAGATTTAGCAGCTGGCAGGATCGCCTGAAATTCCACTGCAACTCAGCTGGGAAAAGAAATAGGCCTCTTGTTTAAATAACGTCTCCTCCATTCATCAACCTCAGCAGGCCCATTGATTCTGCAGTCCCAGAGGGTTACTATTTTCAGAATTCATCCTTAAGTACATGCTTCTGTGCGCACGTATATACACATGTATTCATAAACACAAGTGTATTTTTGAATAAACAAAAACTGAATACTCATTTCCAGAAAATATTTAACAAATGGTTCCTTTCCTTATTTAAAGTCTGTCAGGCAGTTATTCCTATTTTGCAAATGACCACTTTCCATTAAAATAAAGTAGTACTGATAACATTTAAAATTCTTGCTGATTGTTCAACAGGGATTTCTTCTCTAATAGTCTGTATTTCCCTGGGATGACAAATCCAGATTTTCAGTAATCCACTCCTGGCCCCTGAGTTCAAGAACTGTGCTTGCTATTGTAAGGACTGGAATAATTAAATACGTAAACTATGTGGACGCTGAGAAGCTGGAAATTGGAGATGTGGGCAAAAGGGACAGGTTGATATTTACGTTAGAGTTTCTTAAATTTTGAACTTTGCAACTTTAGGGAGAACATCAGTAAGTGAAGGTGGCATGCATGCCACTTTATTTTATGAGAGGAGGCCAAAATCCAGGCCTACAAGCATCATTAAAAAGTGGAATAAGAGTAATGGGGGGAAAAAAATCATTTAAATAGCTGTGACAGTCAATTATATGATTCAGTGAAATATAGTACTAATTTATGAAAATGAATCCAAAAGCTCTTTAATTCTTGGTGAATCCCACTGTATAGTCAACATTAAGCTGAAATTTTCAAACATATTTTGTAGAGACTGGGTGGAGGTACTCATGAGTGCTTTTAGCGAAAAGGGAAACTTTTATAGTACTTTACTGCCTCCCAGTGGCTTTTTAGTTTATGTCTTGAAATGTTATGTTAGAATGAAAAATTATTTTGGTTCTAATTAGAATGTGCTTTTTCTTTCGTTTTAACATGATGGTTATGGTAACAGACAGTAGTAGATACTTCTGGAGAAGTCTGCACTGCTTAGTTGTAGGCACTTTAGTAGACTAGTTGCTGTAGGTAATCAAGGTGGCAGCTCAGAGTGGAGCTCTGAGGGGTCCGAACTGCCTGAGGAGACACTGCCCTCTCCCACAGGGTGTCCGTGGGACTCAGGCCGGGCTTTGTGGGTGTGCAGGCCGTGCCCAACTCTCCTGTGCAGCCAGGCAGACCTTGTCGGGCAGCAAGACCTGGCAAGGTCTGATGGGCATGGGGGGGAAGCGTGAAGGGGCAGTGAGGTGGGCAGCAATGATCTCTGGGGTTTGAGGATGGCTGTGGGTGGAGACAGGGCTGGTAGAGGGTCCAGGAGGTTGGGGGGAAGCTGAAGGGAGAGGAGCTCTGTGGAGAATGGGTTGGATGGGAGCTGAGAGGGTCTGGAAAGAGGGGACATCGGGCACTGCTGCCACACAGCATGCTAGGGTTGCTCCTTGAGCCAGTGTGGGCTGCGTGGCTTTGGAGGCATGGCTCAGCTGCTCGGGTTGCCCCCGCCATCTGCTTTCCTCCTCTGCAGGCTGGACAGGAGAGTGCGGTGCCCTGACAACCGTGTTGCCTGCGTCTGGCCACGTAGTTCCATTTCAGTTATTTTCCCCACGTTCCACCTTGATGCCTGTCTCTCCATCCTCTACGCCACTGGAGTCCTGCCCGTACGGACCAGGCTCCAGAGGGCTGCTGCAAGCCTCAGCAACCGTGTCTGTTCCCGTAAGACGTGGAGGGAGTTGTTAACTAACGACTCTGCTAACTTTCAGTTAACTGCTGGCTCATTTGCCTATTCCTTGCTGTTTGAGAGCTGATTTCAGATGGGAGCCAGCAGTTCACATGAAATTCACCTTCACACCTTCCTCTAAAGGGCACTCATCAGCTTGTTACTGATTTCTGTTGAACTCGATGCTTACAGCAAAATGACCTATAACTTTTGCTGGCTGTCCAGATACTCGGCTCTGGTAATGTGACGTGATTCGTGATATAAATATGCAGGTTTATTTTGGTAGAACCTGGGATGATTGACTTACAGACATGCATACTTTGCCTCTAATGGAAACAGCAAGAAGATACAAGATGAGTATGGCAGGGAAGAATTATATTTTAAATGTGTATGTTGGGGGGGAGTCTGTAACCAAAGAAAGAATAGTTAAAAGAGGAGTTGAAAAAGTGTGTTCTGTATTACCTGCCCAGTGGTGAATGGGCAGGGGGCAGAAATCAAAGTTTTCCCAGAGGATGAACAGCACTTGCATTGAGGGGGGGCTCTGTGGATCCTGTAGTTCCTGGCTGGAGGGCTGAGAGCTAGGGAGACGTACACTGGGAAACCTGCTGAGAACAACTGCTGGAGCTGTAAGCCTGATGGCTGTGCTTTAGGCTCCTGGGCATTACAGGTGTGACATGCCCGTTAATGATGGGATGCCCGTTCGTGCAGCGGCTCAGTGAGAAGCAGGAGCTGCCGCCAGCTCCGCTGGACTGTTCCTTCTTTCTTTGCTCGCTGCCCTCCTGTCAGACAGGTTTGGTGGCAGGGCTGATCCCTTCTCTCCTAGTGGGTAAGGGAGCAGCAGCAATGTGTTTTCAGGGTGAGGGAATTATTTGGCATTTCATTACTACACTGGCAGTAATTAATGACAATTTTATTACTTGCTGAAAATAGCAACTAACATTAAACTCAAGTTAAGATTAAGAGCAAACAGCTGTAATTTAGGGCAATTTTTTGTTTGTTTAATCTCACTTGCTTTCCACTAACATTCATAAAAAACACAACATTCTTTCTGAATTTGAAAAAGCCAGACATGTTATGTATGTGCCAGTAAGTAGAGTCTGGGCATCTGAGCAATCTTAATTTTCCTCCTAAGGATACTGTACCATAACTATATGATTCTGATGGTTTAGTGCCACTGCAAAGTCAGAGGAGCTGGTTTTTTTTAGAGATATGGAGAGCTGCTTCCTCCTCTGCTCTGTCTGCCAATGTCATGGAGCTTCACTCCAGAGCAGGGTGCTCCAATTGTGCATTCCTATAACTTAATATGTTTTGTTTTTTTTATAGGCTGCTACCAGCTAAGACGCTGTTATCCAGAATGTCCGTGTACCCATGTGTGGGGTGGATGTGAAACCAAGCTGCCCTCTGGGAAGGAGATTGTCAGCTGTTAGGAGGAAAGAAAATGTGAAGAGCAAATTGATGATAGCTGCTGACATCTTTGCAGGGCAGACCATGACATCAGTCTCCAGAGCAATAGGAGGTGGCAGGCATCCTGAGAAGATCTGTGCTTTCAAGGATTTGTCTATTGCCAGGAAGGCAAGTATTTGTTTTAGCATCTGCTCCCAGACTTTTTGTGGGAGAAGCTGCCAGAATCTGAGCAAGCTGACAGCATATATGCTTAGTGTGAGATAAAAGCAACAGGCACAGAGTCTTTAGGTGGCTGACTAAAAAGGCAGGAAAGAGGTGTGAGTTCTGTGTTAGCTGGAGATGCATTTCTGAGAGAAAGACACACGCATGAAGTACCACACCGTCTCTCCCAGTTCAGAGACAGGTGACTAGGTTGCCTGGAGCATGCTGTACTCCTCCAGCTTCACTTGAGAAAACACAGTACAACTGGTGCTGCAGTGGTCTGCAGCTACTTTCCTGTGCTATCAGTTTTTACTCTGACAACCTAACTGTATTATAAATGTGTTTTGTTTATTTGGTAGTGTAGTCAGGGAGACTTCTGTCTAGGGGGTGAAACACCTATTTTCTCTTTCGTGAATATTTTTGTCTTCTGTTTACAAACTTGTGAGCTGC